CAGTAGGAACATTATAGAATCCAGTCTCATTAAACATACCGAATCTGTCAACATGAATTTGAGTAATGTTATGTACAAACCGGATAATTTTGTGATTAAGAAGATTTGTGACCAGGTGAGAAGGTTGGGTTATCTTACCCTATGACCTGACTACGGACAGCTGCTGTGCTTAGAGATGGCATATCAATTTTTTTGATTAAGAAGATTAAGAAGATTAGCGAACTCGTAACAATGGTTTTAAATAAGACAAATTTAGATTTAGGCGCGAAATAGGTAAACAGTGGTTTGGAAATAGAGTAGTGGATGAGTGGAACAAGTTACCAAATATCATCATTAACTCGAATACGCTGGATAGCTTCAAACATAGGGTGGATGCTTATATGAGCAATAGGGGTTGGGTGTAAATGGGACTGCCCAGTGTGGGCCAATAGGCCCGCTGCAGTTTCCTCCATTCTTATGTTCTTATGTTCTTAATTCGTTCCTACCTTCAATTTAGGAACGCAATTTCCCATTCCCTGCTGGACGAATTACTTTTATTCATGATAGATGCCCCCCATCTACACGGCCAGAGCAGTGCGTCAGTGTTTGGCGGGCGGCAACACCTCAGGCTCTTGGAATTGCCGAGCAAGGGATGTGACATGAATCCCATTGAAAATATCTGGGCAAGTATAGTCAATTCCTGGGAGCCCGAGTTTGAGAGGACGCCGAACCAGCTGCTCGACCACGTGACAAGACAGTTAGAGATTTATAGAAACAAACCTGAGCTTGTTACAAACAACGTATCTTCTATGCAGCGGATGCTGCAAGCTGTAATTGATAAGGAGGGTGAATGGACCCGTTATTAAACAATATACTGTAAATAATACACCTGGCTATATTTTAATCCTCGAAAGAAAGAAATATAGTATAAACCTTAAATTTAAATTATGCAATGACAATAAAGCCAGTTGCAATATGATTAAAAAATAAATAAATAAGTGTGGAACAAGAAACCTCCCCAAAAAACTGAGAGCTATTCAACCTCTCGCTGAGTCCTCATCAACTCTATATAAGTATACTCTCTCTCTCTCTCTCTCTCTCTCTCTCTCTCTCTCTCTCTCTCTCTCTCTCATTCACTGAGTTAATAATAATAATAATACCATCAAATGCAGTTAGTAGAACACTAAAATGACCACTTCAGTGTTTTCCCTTCTCCACACATCCGTGCGCCTCTGGTGCAGGGATGCCATTATTGTATCAGTTGAGTCTATTACAGTGTTTGCTCTCTAACTTACGTCAAATTATATTATGTAATGCTCACATTGTAAAGACAATTAATTCCATCATGAAACACTCTAGATTAAATGTGGAACAGACTGTATATTCTTGAAATTTTATGTGAGAATCTCGTGGCAGCCCTGGTTGTATCTGCCTTGCCAATTCATTGATATAATTTCTTCATTTTTTAAGCAAATATATGAATATTTGGAAACTTGTCATGATCTTCAATAACGATGAATAATTTATTATTGTAAAAATGATACTTTTGGATTGCTTAATATTTATCCTGACAGTGATACAGCCGAAAATAAATCCACCAATCACAATCACCTTTACATACAGCCTTTACCAAGTATTGCCAGGTAAAATTGCGAGCACGAGACCCAGGGTGGGGTCGGTGCATCTTTGGCTGACTGTACAAACTGGATAATTTTATGATTAAGAATATTTGTAACCAGGTGAGAAAGTTGGGTCATCTTACCCTATGACCTGACTACGGACAGCTGCTGTGCTTAAAGATGGTATGGCACGTCCCCTACGACGATAATTGATGGTTACAAGTGTTCCCCGAAGAATGCAGTGATGGGTAGGGAAACACCGGGTAACACTGAAGTCCGTTTATTATGAATGAGAGAAATACAAGTGGTGACTAGCGTGTGCCATGCACGGCTCACACAGTCAGACTGAGACTGCCTTGCCATATGGCAGCCTCGGGGCAATGTTGCCACATAACGCATGCAGTGGTGCCACGTAATTATATACATAGGTGCTACTCGGCACAGTAGCTTATATACAAGGTTGCTACTCGGCACAGTAGCTTAGATACATAACCACATCTCCCTCCCACCTCACGCTCATAGTCTTTGTCTTGAGCGGACTTCCCAGTCCTAAGTTGCTCCGAGCGTCGAGGTGCACTGTGGGGCGGATCCTCGTGAGGTGTAGGGGACTCGTCCTCGGTCAGGGGGCCAGCAGCAGGGGGTGGGACTGGCCGGAGGAAGCGGCGGTTCCTCCACCAGACACGGCCGCTCGGCATCCTGACCTTGTAGTCCCGCGACCGGCCGACGCCCATCACTATGACCACCTTGTCCCAACGTGTCGTCGTCGGGTCCTAGACGCGGACAATGGCACCAATCTCCACTGGCTGAAGAGGGCGGGCACGGTCGTCATACCGAGCCTTGGCGTCCTGGGTACGTGTAGCGGCGCGGCGGTCGCAGCTGTCGGCTCTGGTCTGCCAGTCCTTCGCAAAGGACTTGGTGTGTGCAGGAACGCAAGAGCGGAGAGGGTGACCATACAGGATCTGGGCAGGGGAGCGTCCTGTCTGGGTGGGAGTGGACGCGGGTTCTGGGCAGCTCTGTGTGGCAGCACCAGGTGCGTCGCTCGTTGATTCACGCACCCTGCTGGCGGTGTAACGAGCAGCTGGGATCTGCTCGGGAAAGTCTCTGGGTACCACGCATAACTCGTTGAGGTGCTCCCACGACAACAAGGGTGTAGCGAGAGTAGGCTGCACGTCGATCCATCCGTGACACGACCTGTCGCCGTAAGTGATCTCCGCTTGAAAGGAGCCCACAGCGTCCGGCATCTGGGAACCGTCCGCATTGTAGTACAGCAGCTGCGGCGGTGGTCCCAGATCACGTTTGGTGAGGCCCAGTTTCTGGAGGTGCTTCAACCCCATCACCGTAGTATCAGCGCCGGTGTCCGGTATCACCTCGATGTGACCCGACACATCACTGTGTGTGACGGCGACGCGGATGGTGGGGGAAGTGGTAGCCCTGGGGCGTGTGGTCGATTCCACCCTCCTGATGTGACTCCGCTGCTGCTTGGGGCTGCGTGGGCCATCTGGGGGGGCTGCGTGCGAACCACCCCGAGGGAAGTGCGCTGCTTTCCTCCTCGTCTCGGGCTTTTGGGCTTGGGTTGGCGGCAGCACTTGTCGTAGTGTCCGTAGCGACCGCAGGCCTGACACTTGTGGCCTCGTGCAGGGCACCTGTCTGTGTTAGACCAGTGGCCCTTACGGTCACATCCACGACACAGTGCGTCGGTGGCTGGGCATGTCTTGGGGCCATGCTGCTTTCCACAGCTGCCACAGGAAGCACTAGGCGAAGGCGTGGAAGAACGTGCGGCAGCTTTCACGTTGTTGGCCGCCTTCTTACCCTTCTTGTACTGTGAGATAGCTCTCACAGCAGGAGGGGCCCGTAAGGCAGAGGTGGCCGACTTGGTGGCCTCGTACGACCGACATTCAGTCACTACCACCTGGAGTGTGGAGGAAGCGTCCAGGGGGATGAGTCGCTGCACCAACTCTTCCTGCCTGCCACCTGCCAAGATCCCGTGCTTGATCCAGGCTTCAGCACATTCCCGGCTGTGCGCCTTGCAGACGTCGATCTCCTCTGACAAACTCTTCAAGCGTACAAAAAAGTCGTCAAAGGATTCGTTCTCCGCCTGCTTGCAGCTGGTGAAGGCGTGGCGTCGCAAAGCCTGGTTATTCCGACCTTTAACGTGCTCCTGTAAAAGGTCGAGCACATCCGTCACTGAAGATGTAGAATCGGGAGGCACTTGCAACGTGTGCTCCAAAACTTTCTGGGTCTCCAGCGACAAACACATCCGCAGTTGGATGAACTGTTTGTTTGGAGGCATGCTGTAAAGGTCCACCATCGTGGAGTAATCTGTCCAACGCCGCCTCCACTCACGAAAAAGCTGAAACGTGACGTCTGGTGAGAGGGCGGGTGGGGGTTGAACAGATGCCTTGGGAGCTGTTTGTTTGGAGGCAAGAGTACCTGGAGGACGCTAGTGTGGTGGAGGAGGGAGGGTATTGGCGCCTTGGTGCGCGAGTGAGGGAGGGTGGGTTAGCGTCAGGGTCGCCAATAGTGCCTCAAAACGCAACTTTTCCTCCTCTCTTCGTGTCTCCTCCCTCTGAAGTTCCATCTCTCTGCGTCTCTCGTCCCGGTCGTCCATCCACCTCAGAATTGTCTCAATGTCCGTCGCTGGAGGTGGAGGATGAGAGTCTGCGCCCGGTGGAGGGGAAGGTGGTGGGGAGTCGTGTCTCCCATCTTGACGTTGTCCCTTCTTACCGCCCATCTTTGTGTGTGCTTGGACTGCACTGTTTAGTATATAAAGTGGCGCCTCAACAGCTCGAACCACATATATATGACATAAACAGCGCAGAAATAACGCATAGAGTCCACTGTTCTGTCCGTGAGTGAGTGCGTGCGTGCGTGCGTGTGTGTGTGTGTGTGTGTGTGTGTCTGAGACATCAGATGCACTTCGTGGTGGCCTTAATGCCGGTGGCTAGAGACGCGGCGGGAGTGAGACCGTCAGTGTCTCCCGGGATGTCACACGAGAAGGGTGTACGCCTGCGTGCTCCGTGGGTACTACAAAAAACAGGCCAATGCTCAACTCTCAGCACTAGACACACACTAATACACTAACACTAACACTGCCACCGTCACTAAAAAGCACTGTGACGGCCCAACACTGCACATCGCGGCGAAACACAACACAACACACTAAGGGCCGTATTCCTAGTCATTACGACGATAATGACGATCACCATCATCATCACGATGCATCGTGTGTCGGGATGCAACCACCCGACGCTCAGTACCATATTGCTAGTCACTTACATGAGCCTTTAACTAGGAATATAGCGTGTGTAAACACAACACTTCGTTTCGTATGGCAGCACAAACGTTTCCCACGCGCTTGCCAAATGCATTATTTCACATAATTAGAAAGACGGTTTAGAGAGATATTTAGTTGTTATTTTATACCGGCACAATAATATATTGAAAAATATCTTCTTTTTTTTCAAATTGAACTTTAGTATCTGTTCTAAACAAATTACAGACAATTTTTTCATCTGTGTACTTGGCACCAATGTTTGCGCAGGTGTTATCAAACATGGAGAGGAGAGAACGTTCTGCAGCCCTGTCAGTAACCCTGCACATAGCACTTTTGCGCCTTATCGAGCAAAGGCCAGTCGTCGAGGACAGGTCTACTAGTACTGTAACACAATAAATGACAGCAAAAGAAAGGCCTAGGATGAAATTACTGCCTCATTAAACACCAGCAACCAAGATCAACTCCCTCTTACAGCCAAGCACCTCAAGAGGAGCTCCAACATAAAAAGGAGTATGTATATGCTTATTTCTAAGTTTAGTATTTAAAAATAAGGATTTTTGCCATTGGGTTACTAAATTGAGTAGGATTACAGTATTTAAGTGACGGGTCATGTGAGGAGTCATGTGAGTTAAAGTTAGGTTAGGTTAAAATAAAGTTAGGTTAAGTTAAAAATAGGTTAGGTTAAAATAGGTTAAGTTAGGTAAGGATAGGTTATTTTAAGTTAAAGTTAGGTTATTTCCATGTTTTGTGCCAGTTATTCACTGGCATTGGGGGGCAATTATCCTAGAACCAAGCTATACAGCATATAAATCTATATGAAACAGATATTATTCTGCAGAGTTAGTGTACTTTCCATTAGTTGCCTGGCAATACACACTTAGCAAGCCAAATTATTCTGGCAAGATAGCTTCAAACAGGTCTATGCTCAGTTTCTGAAGGGTCACCTCCAAAAACTTATCAGAAGCACGAGTCCTTTTTACCAGCATATCATAGTAAATTTTAATGCAGATATGACTGTAGCCTAGTACTGTATAAAGCATTTATATTCTTCTGTTTCTTTCAGAACTAAAACCAGAGATATAGGAGAGCGGGTGGTGGTCCTCCAGAAAACTATCATTAGCTTCAGAAGAAATCACCACCCACTGCTCGTGTCATGCGGAAGACTTCTGCAAGTGTACCTGAACTTCCTCACTCCCATGATCCTCTTGTTTTGCCTGTTCCAACACCAGGGCTATCAACTGTGTCTTCTGCACCATCTACTTCTGTTTTTCGACTTCTAATTTCACCCTCTGTTCCTGCCTCACCAGTCATTGTGAGAAAAGACAAGGGGAGTTCCACAAATATAAATTGTACACAATGAAAAGAGAGCATGAGGAGGAACTGAAAGTGAAGGCCATAATATCAGCACATACACTCAAAGAAAGATAAAGTGAAACTGTAATTAGAGTGATTGAAAAGACGCTTGAAAAAATTAATAAATCTTTTGAATTGTTAGATACATGTTTAAGGAAAGCATCAACTGCATATGATGCCATGGCTAAAACTTATGAATGATGGTTGAGTAATAACATACAGTCATATGCAATGTTTATGATTTTACTATATACAGGGGTACTGTGATATATCGTAAAGTGGCATCTAGATTATAAATTTATTTTCTTGTCTTACACCTTAAAATAATTTTATTTAAAGGAAATAAATCTACATTTCTTTATTTTGCCATTGTTTACAATTGCTGTCTTAAGTATGGCAGCTAAGATTTTTTTTTTTTTATGATATACAGGTATGCTGTGATTTTCAATAATTGCAATTCTTTTTACTGTGCTATAGACTAAAGTTCTTTTTTTTGGGGGGGGGGTAGATTTATAATACAAGTTGTTATATGCAAAGTAATGGATATAGGAGATTTTTAGTTTATTAATTTTTATGCATTCATATATAATTTAATTTAAGAGAAAATTTGTCTCCGCATTTCTATTTTGTGCAAATATTGTACAAAGTATGGCAGTTCAGATTTTTTTTATGTATATCTATAATATAAGCTGTGATATTAATGAAATGCAGAGTCCTGTATAGAAAAAATAATTTTTATTTTCTTAATTTTTGCACATTTAGAAAAAATAAATCTATATTTCTTTCCTTTGGTTTTCTTCATATTACCTCACAGGTGAATTATCATACATATTGAGGTAAGCTTCCTTATTAAAGACCTCAATGAAGTAAAAATTAGACAATTTAAGGCAACATAATTTAAGAATGAATGAAAAGGCTTTAATAAAGAAATAATATAGAACCACTGTTTTATTAAAATTTAATGACATGAATCGTTCACCACTTAAAGTAATGTATGGAACATAGTAGTTACCTAACTAACTAAAGCCGTATTACTTCTTAATGCATGTCTTCTATGTCCAGTGGAAGTCCAGAAATCAAAGTAATATTATGTTGAACTGCACATGCAATTATAATATTTTTGGTAGTAGACAGCTTTGCTCTTACATGTTGCAAGACAGCAAATCTCCTCTTCCACACTCCAAATGTCCTTTCAATTGTAGTTCTTGTTTTAATATGAGATCTGTTATATTTCCTCTGCCTTTCATTAGCTGGATTATGGATTGGAGTGAGTAAGTATGGACGCAACGCATATTCACTATAACCAAGGAGAAAGCCTCGATAACCACCGGCCTGCAGACTGTCACAAAGTCTTGACGTTGTGAATATGCGGGAGATGATGTCTGATTTTTGTAAGCAGCTCCCTGGTGCTGTCCTTAGATGCTCTGTAGCACTGAATAAATTCCTTTTCATTATAATACTGAAAAGGATCTCGTCTTATATTAAATCGTCGCTTCCTCATATCATCAACTTGACTAAACATCCTTATTTCTTCGATGTCATCAAGGTGTTGTCTGTAGGTCTGCATGCTGTAAAATCAGAACATTATCATTTTATTTATAATTTCTTAATTTAAATTTTTTAATAAAATTTGTTTCTAGGACAACTGCCCCCTTGAAAATTGCCCCACATTACCAGTGAATAACTGGCACAAAATATGGATCTAACCTATCTTTAACTTAAAAAAAAAATAACCTAACTTAACTTAACCTAACTTAACCTAACCTCACTTTAACTTAATCTAATCGAATTTAAACTTCACCTAACTTAACATAACCTAACCTAACAAAATATTAAATATGACTGATCCACAATTTTTTCAATTAACCAATGTTTTTTATAGAAATCTGTAAGTGTTGCCGATTGAATACCATCATACAGATGGCAAAGTTAAAACTGATCTCTCATGTCAGTGCAGTGGGGGCCCCTGCCTTGCATTGTACACACACTTCAAATTGCATAGAAACTTCTTAAGAGCCAAACTACGTCAAGTTGATCAATTGTGCATCCAATGGGCTTTTTTTGTGACAACCAAGTTTAGTTAATTGTCACTCCCAAACTGTCTACTGTGCTGTGTGGTTTTCTGATATTGTTTAGAATATAGCTAAAAAATGTAGTTATACTTAGATGAATGAAAATATCATTTGTAAAAATTAAAAGTAAATAGATTTTTTTTAACCAAAGAGTGCAGTGTTGAGTGTATTATTAAAACTGTGATGTAGCCGAGTATTGCAGAATTTTAGAGCAAATTATTTGTATTGATAGTAAGCTGTACTTATTCTTTATTTTATTAGTGACAGTAAATATTTAAGTTAAAGAATAAAGAAAATGAAATCTTCTACTTACTTATGTCGGCATATTTCTGCCTGACACACAAGACACTGTAGATCGTACCCCATAGCTAATATCTTGTTGAAAATAAATATTAACGTTTATACTAAACTATATTACTGGGCCCAAAACTGTGATATTTTCCTTGCTAACTCAGGATAAGAGTGAGCTCACTTGGCTTGCCCCATTCCGGAAAAAATAAGTGTATTTCGTGTTTCAGATGGTTGAAATTTTATTACTACTACGACAAAAATATTGTATGAATGACTAAAGATAAGAAACATACCTTAAATGATAACAGAAGTAATTGTTAATTGAAGATGAGGCTCACAGCACAGACAGCAGTCGTCATCGAAGTCGGAGCTGTGATGTCAACATTCCAATAATGTTTCAAGTTCATAACAGTGTTGTGAAAGTTCATTTATCCGTATTAACACTTCTTTTAATTGTTCTTATCAAAAAAATAATATAATTCGACGTAGACATCTGTAATATAAAGTACTGGAAGAACTTTCATAAAATATAATGATGATTATTATTTGTCGTAAGGCAGCTATCGGGTGGGGGTAGCCACCCGATGTTGTTTCCAACATTTCAGGGATATGCGTACGGTTCCCTTCCGATACCTCGTTTATCGGGATGACTATTAATAGACCAGCACGAACACTATCAATTGGCATTGTGCTTCGTAATGACTATCAATCCGGCCCTAAGAGTTGACGAAGGCGCACATCACATCGCCGGCTAACTGTCCATCGTTCACACACTTGTACGTCCACAGATCCTAGTCACTGCGCCATGATGGTTACAAGTGTTCCCTGAAGAATGCAGTGATGGGTAGGGAAACACCGGGTAACACTGAAGTCCGTTTATTAAGGGATAGGAGAAATACAAGTGGTGACTAGCGTGTGCCATGCACGGCTCACACAGTCAGACTGAGACTGCCTTGCCATATGGCAGCCTCGGGGCAATGTTGCCACATAACACGTGCAGTGTTGCCACGTAATTATATACATAGGTGCTACTCGGCACAGTAGCTTATATACAAGGTTGCTACTCGGCACAGTAGCTTAGATACATAACCTACAATAATGACGATCACAATCATCATCACGATGCATCGTGCATCGTCGGGATGCAACCACCCGACGCAGCGCCATATTTCTAGTCGCTTACATGAGCCTTAACTAGGAATATAGAGTGTGTAAACACAACAGTTCGTTTCGTATGGCCGCACAAACGTTTCCCACGCGCGCGTGCCAAATGCATTATTTCACATAATTAGAAAGACGGTTTAGAGAGATATTTTGTTGTTATTTTATACCGGCACAATAATATATTGTAATATATCTTTTTTTTCAAATTGAACTTTAGTATCTGTTCTAAACAAATTACAGACAATTTTTTCTATTGTGTACTTGGCAACAAAGTTTGCGCGATTGTTATCAAACATGGAGAGGAGAGAACGTTCTGCAGCCCTGTCAGTAATCCTGCACATAGCACTTTTGCGCCTTATCGAGCAAAGGCCAGTCGTCGAGGACAGGTGTACTAGTACTGTAACACAATAAATGATAGCAAAAGAAGGGCCTGGGATGAAATTACTGCCTCATTAAACGCCAGCAACCCAGATCAACTCCCTCCCACAGCCAAGCACCTCAAGAGGAGCTCCAACATAAAAAGGAGTAAGTATATGCTTATTTCTAAGTTTAGTATTTAAAAGTAAGGTTGTTTGCCATTAGGTTACTAAATTGAGTCGGATTACAGTATTTAAGTGACGGGTCATGTGAGGAGTCCTACCCCTTACCGAAGTAGACAGAAGGAAAGCTCCCATCTCATCTCCCCATTTTCCCTTCCTTCATATAATTTTATGATCTCGTCGAGCTATATATCAGAATAGATGTTTTTATGTCTACTTTCATAAATTATATATGCCTATATGCTATTCGATGCGGGTGTCTGAGTAAGATTAACCATATAGTTTAATATGTGAAAGCGTAGCTATTGATTTATTTTTACTCCTCAGAGTGCTAGGTTAAAATTGTGTATGATATCTGAAAAAAAAATGAATTCATAATGAAAGAACTGGTATGCAGGGTAGGTCCTCTTGTTTGAAAACTTTAATTGCCAGTGAATAACTTGAACAAAACATGGAACACTAAAAATTAATGCTTTATTTTCTTGTTTTATTTCCAGTAATAATTATACAAAAAAAATGGAAATTAATACAGTTTTTTTAACACTATAAATCGGTAAATAAAAAACATTGATAAGAAATTATGGTTAAGTGTAAAAAAATATTGAGGATCAGTCATATTTAATATTTGGTTAGGTAGGTTCAGTTAAGGTGAGGTTAGGTTAAGTTAAAGTTAGGTTAGGTGAGGTAAGTTAGATTAAGTTACAATTAGGTTCGATTAACTTAAATTTAGTTAAAGTTAAGTTAGGTTAGGTTAAAATAAAGTTAGGTTCAGTTAAAAATAGGTTAGGTTAAGGTAGGTTAAGTTAGGTAAGGATAGGCTATTTTAAGTTAAAGTTAGGTTATTTCCATGTTTTGTGCCAGTTATTCACTGGCATTGGGGGGCAATTATCCTAGAACCAAGCTATACAGCATATAACTCTATATGAAACAGATATTATTCTGCACAGTTGGTGTACTTTCCATTAGTTGCCAGGCAATACACACTTGGCAAGCCAAATTATTCTGGCAAGATAGCTTCAAACAGGCCTATGCTCAGTTTCTGAAGGGTCACCTCCAAAAACTTGTCAGAAGCACGAGTCCTCATTAAGCATATATATATATAAAACAAAGAAGTCTGTCTGTCTGTTTGTTTGTTTGTTTATTTGTTTGTGTGTCCGCACGAGAATCTCGAAACTACTTTACCGATCTGTAGTGATGATGATGGTGTTATATGTAGTGATGATGGATGGTGTTATATGTAGTGATGATGGATGTGTTATATGTAATGATGATTAGACAATCTATATCTATATAAAACAAAGAAGTCAAATAATAATATTAATAATAATTAACGGTTTATTGAAAGAGCATGGCAGCCGGAAGGCTGAAAATATACAATTACATAATTGGGGAATGGTTCTCTTGATTTACAAATGATGTACAAGTAACATAAGTGATACAAATATGATATATAATAATTAGGTGTTGATAATTTTTACAAAGTCTGGTCTTGTTTTGTGTGTGTGTTCGCATCGAGAATCTCGAACTACTTACTGATCTGTAGTGATGATGGATGGTGTTATATGTAGTGATGATGGATGGTGTTATATGTAGTGATGTTGGATGGTGTTATATGTAGTGATTATGGGTGGTGTTATATGTAGTGATGATGGATGATGTTTTATGTAGTGATGATGGCTGGTGTTGTATGTAGTGATGATTAGACAATAAAATAATAACATTTTAATGCTAAAAAAATATACTTTGCTGTGCCGTTGTAGTGGAACTTACATACACCGTTAATGAACTATTGATGGAAGAAGAAGTTTTGGGGACTGAACAGTAGTTGCAAACAGGGAGTTGCTCAGAGAGACAGACTACTCAGTTGAAGTTCTGGTGAATTTTCTGAAGAAAATGTTGGTGTGTTTGTGTGTGTGTGTGTGTGTTTCTTTTGTGTGTGTCCGCACGAGAATCTCGGAACCTACTTTACCGATCTGTAGTGATGATGGATGGTGTTTTATGTAGTGATGATGGATGGTGTTTTATGTAGTGATGATGGATGGTGTTTTATGTAGTGATGATGGATGTTGTTATATGTAGTGATGATGGATGGTGTTTTATGTAGTGATGATGGATGTTGTTATATGTAGTGATGATGGATGGTGTTTATATGTAGTGGAGTGATGGATGTAGATGTTGTATGTAGTGATGATGATGGATGTTGTTATATGTAGTGATGATGATATTGTTATATGTAGTGATGACGGTGAAAAGTATATGTACTAACATCTCTCTCTCTCTCTCTCTCTCTCTATATATATAAATATATATATATATATATATATATGCAAGTAAATCACTGTAGGTGCGCGTGATCTAGGTATATGCTGATAACCACAAGGAAAGAAGAAACACGAAGTTCCCAAGCGCTTTCGTGTAATTCACATCTTCAGGGGTGAGTACAGACTAGAGAGAGTAATACAAATCAAGGTGTATATATACAGAGGAGGGTGAGACCAGGTCCACAATGGTCAGGTATTAGGTAATGACCCAACTAATCTTTAAATAGCACACAACGGTTGGTGGTCAGGTCAGATGGTCAAGTGACCCGGCCTTCTCACCTGATCACAAATCTTCTTAATTACAAAATTGTCCAGCTTGTACATGCCGTTACTCAAATTCATGTTGAATGCTTCGGCATGTTTAATAAGACTAGATTCTATGATGTTCCTACTATCAATTGAATTACATGGTAATATTGAGGAGGCATTATCCCAGTCAATGCAATGCTTGTTATCCCTCAAATGAACAAACAGAGCATTGGATTCCTGGCCTGTCCTAACACTGTATTTGTGTTGTTTAATTCTAGTTGCAAGATCTTTACCTGTCTGGCCTAAGTAAAACATATTACATTCCTTGCAAGGAACTTTATAAATGCACCCAATTGTGTTGTTGGGGGAATTCTTGATTAACATTTGTTTAACAGTGCATGAGTTTTTAAATGCCACATTGATGTTCCAGGTTTTTAGCTGTGCAGGAATGTGTGAGAATTTTTTGTGAAATGGTAATATTAAGATATTCTTATGGTCATGGGTGGGCTTGGGATCAGTTCTATAAAAAGTTTTCTTAGTAATGTTTAAGCATTTGTCTATGAAAGATCTAGGGTATTTAAGGTTTGAGCCAATATTATATATATATTTGTATTCCTCATCGATGAATTCCGGACTGCAAATTCTCAGGGCACGTAAAAACATTGTTGAAAATACTGACTGTTTGACTTTATTATGGTGGGCAGAATAATAATGAATGTATGAACACACATTAGTTGGTTTTCTATAAATACTGAACTTAAAAGTGTTACCTATTCTGTGTATCAGACAGTCTAGGAATGGCAATTTACAGTCTTGCTCTAATTCCACAGTGATTTTGATCGAGGGGGCTAAGTTGTTAAGTTGTGGCAGGAAAGCTTTTAGGTCCTCATTACATGGCCAGAGACATAATACATCATCAACATATCTAAACCAGACTGCTGAGGGTGGTAAAATATTACTTAATAGTTTCTTTTCAAAGAATTCCATATATAGGTTGCTTAATACAGGTGAGAGTGGATTACCCATTGCCATACCAAATTTTTGAGCATAATATTCCCAATTGAATTCGAATTTGCAATCCTTAA